CACTCCAGACAATTATTTCCTTTCTTGCATCAGACAAAAACACACAGATTTAGAAAATGCTGCTTTGAACCTCCAGGGTCACACTGTGAGCGGGTATATGAGACCTGAATTTTATTGCATGGAGCCAGCCGGAGTAACACCATGGGAATGATGCTGGGCAGAAATTTAGAAGATAATATTTATTTTTTCATCAAGGAGTGTCATACCTGGAGATGTCCAAGACCATGTCGGGATTGAGAAGCCATGACGCTAAATTATTCGCAGGGATGGGGGTTCCCCCATCTGGCGGCAAACACCTCTCTGCTCCAACCACCATTGCACCAAACTCCCTACTTGCATGGGGTTAGCCATTGCAAACACAACATCTGACAAATCCCTGCTGGTTCATAGTCACCCTCAGCCGCATCTCCTAGCGAAACTTTTCATTTACAAAGAGCAGTAGCTATAAGAATAGCCAGTCTGGGTAACTCTGGGTCAGAACAGCTATTTTTGCGATACGTTTCCTGTGCTTGCAGGATCTCGGTGTGTCGTGTCTCCATCATCTCCTGCATCTGCACCCTGTGTTTCACGGGTGCACGGTGCCAGATTCACTGCGGTATAAACATGCAGACCTCAGCTTGCTGGAGAACTAACTTGCCTTTTTATTTTATTTGACTTGGGGGGCTGGGCTGCCTTTTACAATGAGAATAAAACAATAATTTAAGGGCAGAGGAAATCTGAATATCTCGCCTCCCAAAATAACACTTGAGAAGAACTAAGATCTTTTATCCTGAAAAAATTGGATAAATGGATTTGGAGGCTTTTTATCACCATCTTAATTTATTATTTAATTTTCCCTCCTGAGGTAAAAAGTAGGAAACTTTTGTTACAGTCTTGTTTTATCCCTGTCTGGTGCTATTCATAAATTTTTCGTGGAGAGCTCTGTAGGCAGCAAGTTTGCTCTCGGTATGAACATCCTCTGCTCTAAGGGCACTGCCTGGAGGGTGGACTTCGCTGAAACTTTTATGGGATCCCATAAATGCAACCGGATCCCATAAATCTGAACAGAAGGGAGGAAAAACAATTCTTAGGAAACGCAGCAGGGGACTACCTTGTTTGTTTACCACATGAGTATGACACGCTTCATTTTTTCTAAGAAGACTGAATTATTTCCTTAAAAGTGATGTTGCAGTGGGAAAATGGCTCCTTGTATTCTTGATGCTACGTAAGGGTAAGGGAAAAAAAAATATATTTGAAAGCCCCAGAAGACGGATCCTTGGCTCATAGAAAGCTGGAAGCTGACAGTGGGATTTATGTAAGCCATAAGGCTTTTCTGTTTGTATTTATTTGTAGCTGGTGTGCTGTCACTGCAACCGGTTACCAGCTGCATCTCAGCTGTGCCTGGCACCATCACAAGGGCCAGAGCTGGGGCTGTGACCTCTGGTTTTATTTCTGGGGTTGCCTCTGCCCGTTTGAACGCAAGGGATGGAGACAGGTCTTCCTGCTGGTAAACTGGGGTTCTGCCATCCCGGAAAATCCTCCAGGATGATTTGTGGATGGCTCCTTGGCGTGTACCAGGACATCAAAGACTTCCTGCAGCCGACAAACCCAGCAGCCCACGCCCTGTGTGGGGAAGGGTCATGAACATGCCAGTAGCGTGGGATGTATGCAGTAATGCATTAATTTTTTAATAAAATGCAGCCTTCAGCCTCCTGAGCAGCTGCCAGCCCAGGGTGAGAAGTTTAGGCATTCCTCATGAGTGGGAGAATGAAGAACCTCTCCAGGTGCATGTCTCGGGGCGAACAACAGCTATTTTTGGCCTCTGTGTATCTAACATTGTTTTCTCCATCAGTGCAGCAGGGATTTGCTAAAAATAAATGGGTATTCATGGGAGAGGGTGGGAAGGCAGCTGTTTCCATAGGCTGATGCCAACGTGGAGGTACCCAAGCTGAAAGCACTGTGACAACGAGCCCTATCAGGTCAAGTGAACAGAGATTTAACCCAGATTTGGCGGTTTACTGTTAGACAAGATCTAGGTCAGGAGGACCCACCAAGGAACATCAGCAGCAGCTTTCCCCCTTTTCAAAGCACTCTGCTTTCCCTTTCCTTTCTTTGGCAATTGTTACGGATTTCATTCAGCTTTTGCCACCTTCAAATCGTGAAACAATAGTGGGACACTGAAGCTCAGGAAGCCGGGGAGCAGGAACAATAGTTGATGTTGTGTCCTTTCCCAGCCACGTTGCCAGACATCCCTTTCCACATCACTCCTTCACCAGGAAGTCTGACCTCTCTGTTGGGTGTTTTCCAGATGTTGGTCTGCTTTTGCATCGCCCTGCATCCAAGGGAAATGCAAGGCCGCAGGTAACAGCCTGGTGCAATGCACCGGTGGTGTAAAATGTCCTCCCTTGCTGGCTGAAAGAAGAGTCTTGGGGATAAAATTGCACTAACCTCTGTCCTAAGAAGATCCCTGTTCCCTCTCCTTTTTCACTACGGTCTTGCTGGGTTTCTGGGGCTCTGGAGCTCTGCGTGTCCCTGGGCAGGCACATGAACACCTCTATGGTGATGGGTCTTGGCCATCAGCGTCTTGGTTGCATGCCAAGGAGAAGATGGAAAGAGCCAACACAGCACCCAAATGTTAAGGGTGGTGCTTGTTGCAGGGAAAGGACAGCAAGGATGCTCTGTTAGGACACGTCGCCTTCCTTACATGAGCTCTGGGTGCAGAAGGAGCCTGGGAAGGACTTTTGGAGACTGGTGGTCCACAGACTAGGATGGGGGCAACCGACGGGAGCTCGGAAGGAGACTGTCCCATTCAGCATACGATGAGAGAGGCGGGAGTGACCCGTTTTAGGGGCTTTCTGAAGGGAAGCCAAGGGTTTTTAGCAATGCTGACAAACACCAAGACGCCCATTTTTCCTTTCAGTACTTAAGTTCCCACCACTGATGTTGCCTTAGTAAGCTCATTTCAAAGCACATCCAGGGGCTCAAAAACCAGGGAGAGCTCGGAACGGAGATGATGCCAAGTCCCTGTCAGTACATGAGCTGTGGCTGAGGGACATTTGTACCTCGAACCCATCGGAGCTTTATCGGTGAGGCCAGCTAAAATGCTTTCTGGTTGCCCCACGGCAGCTGGGTCATATTTATCTTGTCTTTTCTGCTCCGTGGCAGTGAGGAAAGTCCAATTTGGTTTGGGGGGGGGGGGGGGGGGAAGAAATAACACGATGGAACATGTTCTCACCTGCACCGCATTAAGAATGAGGTGTGTGTGGGGCGCAGAGCCCTCGGTCGCTCCCCGTGTGCCCCCCGTTTGCATCGGGGTCCCTTGCAAAGCAAAAAAGGAGTTTTGCTCTTAGCAGCCCTTGTCCCCATGGCGCCCAACGGCTGCAGATTTAGGGCTTTATGCTTAGCAAATACTGGCATAATTAAAATACGATGCAGACGAGCTGTCTTATCTCGCTCTCCACCGAGGATGAGGAGCCAGGGTGATTAACGGGGATGGCAACGAGTGCAGAGAGCTCAGCAGATTAACGTTGGGCTTTCTCGGGGGGGGAAAGGGCGAAGCACCACATGGGGGGGATGAGAGTGGAGACAGCAGATTTGGTTTTCCTTAATGCTTACTCAACCACTTGTCATGCCATGGGGCAGCTTTCCTTCCCCCCGGGGGTTATGATGACGAGGCAGGAGGATGGAGGAGGAGGAGGATTTGTTCCCTGCAGCTGGAGGATGCGTGATTAATAGGTTTCAAGCCCTGCACTGTTCATTAAACCCCGGCTCCAAATCCTCCTCTGCATCATGCTGACCTCAGTCCTTTCACGATAGATACTTGGAGGTGTCTGTGTGCTGGGCCTAAAATTCCTGCTCCAGCATCATGGTGCTGGAAGCTGGGTGCGCTGGCTCATTTTTATTTTTTTTTTTATTTTTTTATTTTTTTTTTTTTTTGCAATGATGCAACACACAGGCCCAAGGGGAATGGCAGAAAGATGCAAGAATAGTAAAATGGGAAAGACTGGGGATGTGGGGGGATTGAAGTCCAGAGCCCAGGCTGGGACCTCCGAGCTGGGCAGGGTGGAGGGAGATGGAGCTCGGCTTTGTTTGCAGCGGGGGGCAGGGGCTCTGTTCTCCTTGCACCCCGAATTTGTGGTGTAAAGTGAATAAAAGGTGTCCGTGAGGGCGGTTGTGCTGGTAGCAGGACACAACCAGCACAAACTGGGGCCATGTGCAGGTGGGGTGCTGGTTGGAAAGGGGGGTTATTTGGGGGGGGGTGTGTGTAACAAGAGTGGGGCTCACCCCAGAGGGGTGCCTGAAAGGGGCTGCCGTGGTTTTGGGGCACAGCAGTGTGGGGAATGGTGATTTGGGAGGGTTTTACACGGGGGTGAGGTGCTGGGGGGGGGGGGGGGGGGAAGGGGGGCCGGGGCATGTCTGTGTGCTGTGGGGAGTGGTGAGGGGGTACACTCGTGGGCACTGTGTCACCGCCCTGCAGGGCTCTGGGGGGGGTCTGTGTGACACCGCCCCATGGGGTTCTGGGGTCCATGGGGTCCGTGTCACCTCCTCGTGGGGTTCTGGGGTCCGTGTCACGGCCCCGCGAGGTTCTGGGGTCCGTGTCAGCACCCCGCGGGGCTCCGGGGGGGTCGGACGAGCCCACGCCACGGCGGGTGAAGGTGCGGGGGGGGCCGTGGGGGGTGTTGGACGCGCCCATGAGTGGGGGGGGGGACGACGGGTGGAAGTAGCGCTGCGCCGGGGGTGTGTGCGCGGGGGCAGGAGTTGGGCGAGCCCATGCCTCGCCGAGGGGGGACCCATCCATCTCCCTCCACCCGCCCCGCTCTATTCGCGCTCAGCCGCTGTCTGCGGTAGACGCCTCCCGAGCCCCGCTCAGTGTGAAACGAGAAATAAAACCGGGCTGAAACCTGCGCGGTTGGGAAGGCGGAGAGCGCGGGCAGACGTGCGGCTTTGCCGCGGATTTCCCCCCCTCCCCGCCCCCCCCCGCTTCCCTGAGGCGGATTGAGCAGTGGTGCGGTCGGGGCGGGGCTCCACGGCCGCAGTGCTGCCGCCTCCCTCCTCCTCCTCCTCCTCCTCCTCTTCCTCCCGTCGCCGCATCGCTGTCGCTATGGCGCTGTGCGGCCGCTCCGCGCTCCTCCTGCCGCCCCCGCGCCCGTCGCCGCGCCGCCCCCGGGCCGCCCAGGCCTTCGTCAGGTAACCGGGGACGGCGGGGAAGGGCGATGAGGATGAGGATTTGGGGGCGGGGGGAGCGCTGAGGATCTGACAGGGAGGGACTGCGCTGAGGGAGTTGGTGGGGTGGGGCCGGGCTGGGTGTGGAGGGACACGCACTGAGGGAACGGGGGGTATGAAGGAGGTTGGGGGCGTTGAAGGGGCTGGGGTGTTAAGGGAGGTGGGGGGCAGCGAGGCGGGGGGGGGGGGTGACAGAGGTTTTTTGGGGGAGCTGATGGGGAGGGGTCTGGGGGATGTTGAGGGGTTTGGTGGGGGAGAAACTGGGGGCCGTTAAAGGTGGTGGTTGGGAGGAAAGTAGGATGCTAAGGGCGTTGGGGTGGGCTGGTGGGAAGGAGATGGGGTGGGAGTTAAGGTCTTTGGAAGTGCTGAGGTAGGCCAGGCCGGAGGGGTTGTAGATGTTAAGGAGTGGTTTTGTGGTGTGGAGGGGGGGTGTTAAGGGGCTTTGGGGGGTGTTGCAGGGGGATTTGGAGCTGTTAAGGAGGTTGGGGTGATTACAAGGGGCTGGAGCAATAGGAGCAGCGTTGGAGGGGCCGGGGTTATGGGGAGATGGGACAGGGTGTCATGGAGGGGCAGGCTAATTTTGTAGGTGGCTACTGGGAGAGAAGCGTTGGTGGCCTTGACAGGATGGCAGGCAGGGGCCTGACTTGGCCTGGTGGGTTTAGGGATTGAATCCTGAATCCCCCTGGAGGAGGGTGTGTGGGAGGCTGTACTGGACTTGGGGGCAGGGGAACAAAAAGAGAGGTTTGGGGACTTTGGGGAGGGGCTGGTCTGGAGAGGAGGGGGGCTTGGGGACTGTGGGGAGCTAAGCCTGGATCTGGTTTGGGAGGGGATGGATGTGGGGCTACCTTGGAAGTAGGGAAAAAAGGGCTTGTGAAAGGTAGGAAAGCTGAATTAAGGTAGGGATAGCAGAGATTTGGGAGGGGTTGAGGGATTGTGGAGGGAAAGGACGTTGTGTGTTTGTGTGGGCACCTGCTGGGTGGCTTGTGGAGACGTGCTTGAGAGTATGAAGGCAGTAACGTTCTCTGAGCTTCAGAAATAGGGGTGATAGAGCTTGACAAGAGATGGGGCACGGGGACATGTTAGATGATAATGTTGGCTCTGTGGGAGCTCAGGTGTCAGCTCAGGTATCGTTAGGTTGCTAGAGCTCTATTTCCTTTTAAAGACTTAGGCTGCACCCATGTGTATAAGGCTACTGTGTATTATCTGAAGTGTCTGAATAGGGGAAATAGGTTTGAGTTGCTCCAGGGGAGGCTTAGTTTGGATATTAGGAAAAATTTATTCACCTACAGGGTTGTCAAGCACTGGAATAGGCTGTTCAGGGAAGTGGAGTCACCATCCCTGGAGGTATTTAAAAAGCATGTAGATGTGCTGAGGGACACAGCTTAGTGGTGACCTTGGCAGCGTTAGGTTAACGGTTGGACCTGATGATCTTAAAGGTCTTTTCCAACCTTTCAAACAATTCCATTACTCTGTAATATCACAAAGAACAACCCAGGAACTGAAGTGCTTGCTGCTTTCAGTAGTTATAGCTCAGTACATGGACGAATTCACCGGTGTGAAGTCAAATAATAGAGTAACTGGGACATTACACCTAAATTGCAGAATTGCACATAAACTGCAGGCAAACAGCTGGCCAAGCTACCTGGGTGTTAAAGTGGGGCTGTGTTTGCTGTAGATTTTCAACTGCTTCAAAAAAAATTTATATTTTGTACAAAAAGGGAATAAAACAATTTTTACTTTTCAGACAATATGCCTGTGAAATGAGAAATTCTGCACCGTGAGAGAGAAATAGAGGTTCTGTTTGCTTGAAATACATGAACATGGCTGTTCTGTGATGGTTTTGTTCCCTTTCTGCCTGCCCTTAGAAATTGAATTGATGTTAAGAGGGAAGGAAAAGTGACCTTTTCAGATATTAATTCATCCAGAGAAAAAAAACTCTTACTTCTTTAGAAGGAGCTTAGTATTTGTTTATAGCTGGAAGGTATCTAAAAACCCATGATCAGTAACAAAATACCAAGATGGCAAAAAAAAAGCTGAAAGAGAAAATGGTTTCCACTGAAGCCTCTCTCTCTATGAGTGATTTTTGTAATCTGAGATCCTGTTTTAGAGTTGTCATGAGAACATTCAGACTCTCTGTGAACATCTGCAAGCTTTTGAGCTCCACTGGGAGATCCAGACAGCATCTGTAATTTGGCGTGTTTGTACGAGGCGTGTCATCCGTTAATTTTTTTCCTCCTCAACATTTGTTCTTCTTCAGTTTTTTTTTTTTTTCAGGCCAGATGGAGGCAGGGAGGCCAGTGTTTGCAATAAATTTCCCAAGCAGTCACCAGATACCAGGCAGTTAATAAAAATAACTTAAAACAAAACAATCCGTTACCCTCCTCCCCCCACCCCCAAGTCCCAAACAGGAATGGAAAAATTCTTAAGACTATATAAAGAATAGAGAAACGGCCAGAGATAATTCTTGGAGTTCTTCCACATACTTCAGAGTTTTGGTCTGCCGTATGGTGTGTTGGGAGCTGGCATTTACCACGGCGACCCTCGACGTTGGAACAACAAAAGTAAAGAATGGGTTTGTAAATAAGAAAAAAATCCACTAAGAGATGAGTATTGTCCAAAAAAGGGTATGCCATTTTAGAAAGTGATGTCATGTTTCATGTGTCTGTGTTTAGTGGTGAATGAGTGTTTTCCTTAAAAATACATGCATTTCTGTACAAAGTTTGCATTAAATTCTTTTGTTAAATATCACCATCTAAAATCAGTGTAAATTTGTTCTATTTGGTAGGGCTCTGGACCCACCCAATTTTGCATTAGCTTTATGTAAAATAGAGTAGGCAGGTCCTTGTTATTAATAACCCATGTTTATAACATAATACAGATTACTTCTTGCTGTGTGTCTATGTAGGGAAATGCAAAATGAGTACTTGGGTTAATTTTTATGCTGTCTCTTCCCGTGTGCCTAATAGCATCCTCTAAACCACTCTGGTTTTAATCATGTAGTGGTTAAGTATATGGCTTTTTTCCTACAGTTTCAGAGGAGCAGTCGGTGGGGTGTTTGGGAGCATGGTGGTGCAGGGAAGAAAGAGTTGTTGTGGTTTCCCAACTGTTTTTTAGCAGGGGATGTGTCTGTGTTGAAAGATTAACAGTTTGGATTCATGTATTCCTTATGTAATTATGCCGAGGTTGAGGATTTTGTAATAGCACTATTTCACCGAAATTTTGTTAAGGAATGAACTGCATTTTAGCTGTGCAAAGAGAGAGCTGATTTAACTTCCTGAAATACAGGAGGGAAAAAACCCAACTAAACAAACAACAAAACCAAACAAAACAAACAAAAAAAAAACCCAAAGAAAACCAAAACAAAACAGAAAAAAAAACCCCAAACAAACCCCCCAAACAAATGCATTCCTTGCCTATGAATGGGTTTCTACCATGTTAGGGAAGTAAGATGGCTTAGGGTCTGTTGAGTGCTGGGCTGCAGCAGCCATTTAGAGGAATGTGGGGCTGTATGGTTGATAGGAATAGGAAGGTAGAGAAGTGCTTGGGAAAGAAAAGCTGCTGAGGAGAGGAGCAGAGCTGTTGCGTTAGCTCGGCTGCCTGTGGAGCCTCAGCTGAAGTTACCCCTGTGTGATCATTCAGCTTGAGCTGATGGCGAAGCGTCTGCTCTGTGGCTGCACTGGTTGTGGCCCAGTAATGGGCTCTGAAAATCAATTTAGGCTTAAGGTGCACTGCACCTTAGCTTCTGATTTCTGCCAAAGTGCCAGACGCCTTGTCTTTCTGATCAGAGACTGATGGCAGAATAATTACACTGGAGCTGCTAGTCTTTCCAAGTTCTTCAAATATCGTCGTTTTTCTCAGATGATAATGTTTTTTTTGAGGAGGAATAATTGGCATCCGCAATAACATGATGCAGTTGAAGGAAGTGAAGATATAGACCTGCTGTTGGTAATTCAGCCTGTTAAACACAGAATGCGTCAAGGGTGCAGTGCGTGTGTGTAGGTGATGGGCAACCTGCCATTCGGTTGCACCCGTGGAAGAACTTCACTGTATTTCCAGCCCCTGAGCTGATGTTGAGGTCCAATCTGTGAGCTGCTTACAATAAACAAGTATGCAGGAGAGCTGCACTATCCAGCGTGCTCGTAGAAAATACCAGTATGAATACCGATGTGCATTTTTTAATAAATAGCACTACTGTCTGGATGTGCTGAAGTGCCAGAGATCTTGAACAAGCTTGTCATTTGAAAATGGCATCAGATAGGCCAAAATGTTTAGTAAGGAGAGATTCGTGCTTGTTCCTTTGTGCTTTGAGGTCTCTGAATTGCAGAATTGAATATTACTGCCTATTTAAAGTCAAGAAGCAAGGGATTTGGTCCTGTAAAATGCACACAGAGTTGAAATTTCTTCCTTTATGTCTAGTTTCAGTATTTGCTACTTACTGTTGCTAAACACGCTAAGTGTTTTCACAAGTACTAGGTGTCCTATTTACAGTCCAGTTCCCTGTGTTCATTGTAGAGAAATTCTGAAAATAGCTGGAAAATTCTCATGTGTGTTAAGGTGGGTGAATGCCATTGTCTTTTGTGAGTGCCAGGCAGTAAAACAGTTATTTTGGTGAGCTAAACAAAAAACCAACCAACCAACCAATCAACAAACTCAGAAATCATGTTATTGTTCAACATAGTAAATTTCAAAAACTTTTTTAAATTAGTGAAATTTTGAGACTCTTTAACTCAGCCTGACTTCTGGATTTTGTTTTCACAAATATGTTAAGAAGGTGATAATGTCAGACTGTGGGAAATCCAGGGAAATCCCGTACTCCGATATAAGCAGACAATAATAATGCTTCTGGTAGAAATTGTGAGGTCAATGAAAGGCCAGTGAAAAAGAAACTTGAGTTTTTGGGGGTAGAGTGGAAACAGATGGTAGTAGCAGCAAGCTAACAAGACGTGAGATGTGGAAGAAAATGA